TTAACCCTATGATTATTCAGGTAGGGTAAGGATAGTCAAATCTAGTCTAAACCATGAAGTACTCACCCTCCCCGCAGGTTGCAGTCCTTCCAGAATGACGTAGAAGACTCCCTTGTGGTTCTTGTTTGAGGCTCAGTTTGTAGTTATAAGTAAAGTCTCACGGGAGGCAATCGTAACAATAAAATCTCTTATTTTATTAGTTACAATACAAAGCAGTTAATGCAAAAATAAAACAAAATCGGCTACGAGCTCTATAATCAAACTCTAAACAACAACATTGGAGATGCTGTTAAGCGCACCTTAGGGTATCAGGTGTCCTTCACGCTTAATGCAGGCAGCATCTGAAGAGTAGCTTACTCCTCAGACCTTATATACTACTTTTTTTTTCATGACGGATGTCCTTTGTCACTTACGTTGCTGTCTGCGTCTAGCACTCTTCCCTTTCTTCATTGTAGTCTTCGTCTGTCTCATCTCCGCTTGATGTTGCAACATGCTTTTTTCGCCACTGTCAAACTCAGAGATTTAACTTTCACAATTGTTGCTTATTCATCCTAACAAAGCAAGTATTGCAAGTGCAAGCATTTTTATATCAAAGCATATATGGTGTTAACATAAAAACAAGCAAATTATATAACATTGAAACAGGTAAATGGTAATATTAATATCCATATCCAAAACAGTGTGTGTATGTATACATACGTACTAAATTGTTGTGTCATGAGTTCACATCAAGTTCAGCAGATGCTGTTCTGGTTTCATTAGATGGATGGATGCTATTTGTAATATGCCTCTTGGGTAGAAAGACATTTAAAAGCCTCTTGATTGAGTCAGTGACCCTCAGTAATTGTGTTTCTCTCTGTAGATGTTGTTACTGAAGGCTGCTCAGATGAAGAGATTTGAGAGGGAAAAGGTGAATTAATCGGTGCATATCTGCAAATGGTTATTTACAATAAATTAATGTTGGCTTAATTTGTTTGTGTTAAAACTTTAACTTGGACCTTTTTCATTTAAGCTGAACCGAATCAACCGGGCTCGGGAGCAGGGCTGGAGACATGTGCTCAGTTCCAGTGGAGGCAGCAGTCCTGAGCGAAAGGTACAATGGTCGTTCTTGTCTGCTACAGATTAGTCGATAAAGGCTGCTAATATTGTTGTCACTCTTAAGGTTTCTCTTTCTGTGCTTCTTTTTTGCATAGTTTTATGGGAGTGGTGGTGGCGGCGGCATTGGAGCACCACATTCTCCTGGAATAGGCCCCTCCCCTGTGCCTGGCCCCACCCATGCCACACCTTATCTCCCTGGCCCCACCCCTATTGCTGCTCCTGTTCCTGCTTTAGCTCCAAGCAGAGCTCCATATGACCACGTCCACCCAGCAGCTGAAAAACCATCCAAACCTACACCTAAAGTTGGTGCTGGAGAAGCAGCCAAGTCTTCAGGGGACAATGGCAGGTGAATGAGATGGATGAGAAAGAAACTCTGCCATTCAAGACTAGTTGACAAGTGTTTTTGTATTCTTGTCTTTTTGAAGAATTTTTGATGTAATGTGCAGCGATGTTGATAATGTTATTATCATTAAAGCACTGCTGCAGAATCAGGGACGCTGAATGGTCATGCCTGCATCCCTGTTAAGGATGTTGTCAGGAAAGAACCACGTAAAGCAAGTCTCCAAAACGAGCAGATTTCAAAGAACGACTATGCCAATAGGTCAGGTGGCTATGTGTTTCATCAGATATTCAGTCTTCAGCCTGTCGTCTGTCAAGCAGAGCTAAGATCACCTCTTCTATCTCTCTGTCTCTAGGTTTCGAGGTCAGCTGGCGGCAGAGAGGGCTAAGCAGGTGGAAGAGTTTCTACAGCGGAAAAGAGAAGCCATGCTGAATAAAATCCGTGCGGAAGGACAGCTGGTGCGAGTTTTTTTTTACCTTGACCTCTTCTGGTTAAATGAGTGTTCTGGTTTCAGTACAGTCCTTATCAACAATGTTTCGGGCATAAAGTCAATTTCCATGGAAAATCATTTTCACTCTAGGTTTTATGGTCAACATAATATGAAAAAACACCCCATCTAATTTGTAAATCCATGTTATTGATCTTATTGTGAACTATTAATCCATGCATATGTTAATTAAAATGTCATAACTTGATTTTCTGGTAAATTATCTATTTTCTGATAGACTTCCCTCTGGTGACGTATGCAGGATTCTCCAATTATTTAGTCTGCTTAAACACTGCCCCTTTCTTACAGTCAACCTCATGCTTGCATTCAGATCTGTCTTCATTCAATTAACAACTGATGGACAGAAATAAGTCTGTATAAGGTGTCAGTGATGGAATTGATATTACATTTAATTATGTGGCTTTTATAATATTGAATTAACCAATGGGTGAATAGGGGGCCCGGCAAAACCTGGCCGCCATCTTTGCAAGCTGGACAAACTCCTCCCGATGCAGGAGACCCCAAGTCAACAAAGAGGAGGAGGTAGGAGTCCTGTCTGGGTCCAAACAACACTCCTCACTCCATTACGTCACTTAAACCATTCATTGTTCGGTTCCTTAATTTAAGTTGTAAATGTCCACCTGATGTTGCTGCATCTGCTCACCTGCACCATCTGATGTCCAGTACCTGCACAGTGTATGTTTGTGTATGTGGCCGCGACCTACACTGAAAATGCTCTAGTTCATCATTTCATTGCATTCTGGCAAAATTCCCCAATGTGTGTGTGTGTGTGTTTTTTTTTCATTTGAGGATGTTACTCTGCTTCAATGCCCTTGTTTTGGATCCTTCATCATTTTATTCCATTTTTGAAGAGTATTCATTGTAACTGCAGAATTCCAGCTGAAGACTAACTGCTGCTTTTTATGCTCATCAATGAATGGCTTTGTTTCTGCTGTAACTGCTCACCACTTGGTTTTCTTGAGTTTGCTGTTCCCACAATACAGTGTAAATGTTTAATGCTGTTTTTCTTTTCCAGTATATTTCACCAATATTCTATCAGTTCATGTTCAATATGTGTTTTGCACCTATTCTTATGTTTGTTGGAAGAAGACAATGGGAGAGCACAAAGAGAGATGGTATGTGATCTGTGTGTTTTTCAGGTGTACTTGGCGAGATTACGACAGATCAGACTACAGAACTTTAATGAACGCCAGCAGATCAAAGCTCGCCTCAGAGGAGAGAAGGTATATGCACCCACATATACACCTCTTTTATATTTCTTTCAACTGTAGATTTATTGTTGACAATGTTGTCAGCTGTATCATTATACCTATATTAATGTTTAATATTATTTATTCCCATCAGTTTCAATGCTTTTACACATTATGAAATAGTTTTTTTTTTTATTAATTTATTCATTTTTATTATATTTGGACCATATATCTCAGTATGACAGTGACTGCTCAGACAGTCAGGAGTCATGTGAAGAGGCTGTACTCAGGAGGAAGAAGATCGAGGCTTTGAAGGTTTTGCATTTTAATATGTTTTTCAAATTAAATGATCAGTGTAATAATTTGAATTGAAAACTTGAATTATATACACCATTCAAATGTAAACCCCTGCCACTCTGATGATGCAAGCGTACCATGGTTCGGAACCAGAAAAACAGTATGAACACAAACCAGTTGGGGAGGGGGGAGCAATCAAACACTGGTTCGGACCAGGCAATCGAACCAAGTGTGAAAGCACACTTAGATGATTCTTAGAATGTCTTATTGAAAACTTTTCAATGTTTTAAAGTATAAATGTCTTAGTATCAGAATGGAAAAGCAACTGGATTGTTATTTGAGTTAAACAATTATCAAGAATGTGTGCTTTTGTGTTAGGCCCAGTCAAAGGCTCGTGCTGCTGTACTTAAAGAACAGCTGGAAAGGAAGAGAAGAGAAGCATATGAGAGAGAGAAGAAAGCATGGGAGGATCATGTATGTCATCTTTCTTTCCCAATCTTCTCCTCTTTCCTCGTCTCACCTCATCCATCTCTTGTGTTTTATTGTACCTTTTGTTTTGTCTTATCTTTTGGGACAAAGCAGCTTGTTGCACGAGGAGTGAAGGTTGCTGTTGGAGCTGTGGGTGGAGCTCCACCTCCTGCAGCACCTGCCACTCAGCCATCTGACTCCACCCCTCAGGAAGATGCTTCCAAAGCCACACCCTCCTCTAGACCCACCACTCCAGCCATCTCCATGACTGCTGCTCTGAAGGATGTAGGCGCGGTTAGTCCCCTATCACACTGATTAAATCACCTTTGCTTTATTTGCTCAAACAGCCATCCCATGGTTACCTGTTTTCTTTTTTTGGTAGATTTCATCAGGGCAGAGTTCTCTTATGAAAGAGGACTCCCTTAAGGCAGAAACATCTGGTGTACAGGTGGGAAATGCATATTTGGATGTGATAAATACTATTAATATGAGAGAGCAGCTTATTGAATAATTGTCAATGAACACTTTGACTATAATGACATGTATTTTTTTTTTTTTAGAGTGACAAGAAGGAGATTCTTCGCAGGCTTAATCAGAAGGTCCAGTCCACTGAGGAAGATGCGGTGAAAGATCCCACACCTTGCAGCAGTGCACCATGCCCAACTCCTCAACAGATCCAGCCTTCCATCACAGAGGAAAGGCCGCCTACAGCTGGAAAGCCACACCCTCCTCTAGACCCACCACTCCAGCCATCTCCATGACTGCTGCTCTGAAGGATGTAGGCGCGGTTAGTCCCCTATCACACTGATTAAATCACCTTTGCTTTATTTGCTCAAACAGCCATCCCATGGTTACCTGTTTTCTTTTTTTGGTAGATTTCATCAGGGCAGAGTTCTCTTATGAAAGAGGACTCCCTTAAGGCAGAAACATCTGGTGTACAGGTGGGAAATGCATATTTGGATGTGATAAATACTATTAATATGAGAGAGCAGCTTATTGAATAATTGTCAATGAACACTTTGACTATAATGACATGTATTTTTTTTTTTTTAGAGTGACAAGAAGGAGATTCTTCGCAGGCTTAATCAGAAGGTCCAGTCCACTGAGGAAGATGCGGTGAAAGATCCCACACCTTGCAGCAGTGCACCATGCCCAACTCCTCAACAGATCCAGCCTTCCATCACAGAGGAAAGGCCGCCTACAGCTGGTGATAGGAGGAAATGGGAAGCTGTAGCTCCACCCATATTGTCTGTAGCTGAACAAACTCTGGAGGAGACCATTGCAACTTTGGCAGGTATAAACACAACAGTCAATATGTTCTTATAACTAGTACTGTAAAAACATGTGTGACTACTTAAATTTGTTTATATGGTATTTAAAGGGGTGGTTGATTATGATTTCACTTTTTTAACTTTAGTTAGTGTGTAATGTTGCTGTTAGAGCATAAACAACGTCTGCAAATTTAAGACGCTCAAAGTTCAATGCAAAGGGAGATATTTTCTTTTAAAGAAATCGCTGGACTACAAAAAAAGGCTGTTAGGGACTACAACAAGCTTCTTCCCGGGTTTGTGACATCACAAACCCCGATGTTTACATAAACCCTGCCCCCGGGAACATGCAACTACCCGTAATGGCAAGGGGACGTGACGTTTCCGGACGTGCACAAGGCGGTTAGCGAATCACAAACACACTTGGGCCACTTAACCAATCTGAGCCCGATTGCGTATTTCCGAGGGAGGGGCTTCACAGAACCAGGAACTCAACAGACCGTTTTTAGGAGAACAGAAACAGCGGTGTAGAATACAGGTAAAATATGTGAAAATAATGAGTTTTTAAAAACGAAGCATGAACACGTTACACTGCACCCCATAAACACAATCAAGCCTTCAAAAAAAAGCTGATCCACCACCCCTTTAAAGTCAAGTCCATACAGAACAATTCCATACAATTCAAAAGTAGGGATGCACCGAAAAAAGTCAGGTTTTTGGCTGAAAGAGAAAGAAACAACAAAAAATGAGCCGAGAATATATGCTGCACCGCCCGACAGTGTTCAGTGGGCAGGTTTCACTCTCTCTCTAGCCGTCGTCACTGTGAAGTGTTTCACTCCGATTAATATTCCACTCTATGAATGTGCGTTCCACTCATATACCGCTCATGCTCACTGGAAAAGCAAAGTGCTCAAATAACGCGCCGACAGGAAATTTCTATGTAATGTACTTACAATCTGTGAGTCAGAACAGCTGGCATTGTAGTCTACTCTTCCAGGATCAGTAAACAGTCCTCCATAAGAAAAGTCTTACAAAATGACTATATTATTTGATAAAATAATAAATAATTAATACAAAGTAGGGCTGCACGATAAATCGCCGCTCCATCTGAACGCACATGATGGAGATTTACTGCTAATCACAGAACCGGCTTTACTGACGAGATGCGCATGACAATCACATGCGATTTATCGTGCAGCCCTAATACAAAGCAGTTTCGGGTTTCTGCCAAGTGCATCCAGAAATTTCAGTTTCCGTTTCAGCCCAGAATTTTCAAATCGGTGCATCTAAAAGTAAATCATGTGTCTCCGATTCCTTTACATAATTGAACAGACTGTGGCACACATTCATATTTTACTAAAACAGGCTGCTGACTTGCTTATCAACAAAACAGGATAACTGCAAGTTTAAAATGCTCGATTCATTATACAAATATTTTGAAATTGGTTTATGTACAAATATGTCAATACATATAAATTATAGGTTGACCAGGATTTACGTTGAAATTTACTTTGAAATGTGCAGAGACATTTCACATTTATTTAATTAAATCTTAACATTTTGAATTTTAATTATCACATTAGGCCGTATTACAATTCCTGTTTTTCGATCCCAACATTTAAGACCTCTTACAATTATAATTAAGTCTTTATTATACCATTTAACATATTTAAGACATTTTATGATCCTAAATTTGATACTGTATTTACGACATATAATTTTTTTTATTCATTCTGTTCTGTGTAATTACTAAAGACCAGTCAGATCAGAACATACATAGTTTTATTAGCTTTTTTCTTGTGTTGTAGGTCAGTAATAGAAGATAAAATTCATATATTTTAGATATTTGTGTCATATGAGCACACATTCTCTTTTCTCTCTCTTATCCTATCTCAGTGTCTCATTTGGCATCTCCAGAGACGAATGCTCTCTCTGGTGGAGACAGGAAGAAGTGGCAAACTGATGGTACCCCTCTTCTGTCTGTGGCTCAGCAGACTCTGGAAGAAACCAGCTTTACAACAGCAGGTCAGCTAACAGGTAAACTTCCTCATCCTGAGATTCTGTAGTTCATGCAGTTTTTGCAACTTTTTTTTTTTTTATCAAATTGATAGTTTTTGATGAAAAACACAACAGTGGTTCTGCCACTGACAAGTGACAAAGTTTCTTGTAGCACTTTGCATTTGCATAACTCTAATGAGAAATGAATGAATGAAGCAAGAATCAAAATATTGCAGCAGTGAAAAGCACACACCATCAGCTCTCATTACACCATCACATATTCATAGTGCATTCAGTTATGAAGGCAACATTTAGGTGAGCTACAGTGAGAAATTGGTGGATACATCAGGCTGCACATTTGAATAGTTTGACATTTGTTTTTGCTTGCTAGATGAAGAATAAAAGTAGTCAATTAATTATACACATCCCTATTACTTTCAGAGTGAATGATTATGTATTGGAGTGTGTTTTGTTTTGTAACTATGGATGGTGTGTTGCGTTACATGCACTGGGACTCCAGCCGCTCTACAGCAACCGGATTAATAACAAACAGGGCATTAGGTTATTTGCTAGATCTCTAGTCTTCTTTGCTCAGAGAGCAAAATCATGTCATTTCCATTGTATGTAATAAAATGTGTTGCTTATTTATATGCAGTAACATCTATTTTTTTTAACTTGATTCCGAAAAAACAGCAGGTGAAGTCATTTGCATGGATGCTTGGCACGGGGAGGGGCTAAGGAAGGCTTGGGGGCAGAGTCCAGACTCTGAGGTTCTGAAGGTGTTGGAAGCGGCAGAGCTCCAGTCCTTTACCCAGAAACTAGATCCCTCCAGCACCTGTGACCACACACTGACTGGTAAGTTTTTGATCAGAGTGTTTTTCATCTGTGTGATGAGTTCAGTGTTACTAAAAATAGCTTCCTGTTAATCCTGTGTTTTTTTTCCAGAAAGCCTTAGTCTCATTGAAGAGTCTTTAGATGTCACTGATGAAACCAAACAAGTGCCTCTTCCTCAGCCATGCCAGCTTGCCATTGGCCTTGCCAAACAAGAAGTGACATGTCAGGAGATAGTGCCAATCACTGCAGAGGTTAAAAGTCTGGAAATAATCCCACCAACACCAGAGGAGATAAAAAAGACTCAGTCTGGAGAAAGTGAGGCAGAGGGTGAGAATAGTATTACACTGAAAATGAATGCATTACTTTTAGTGACATACCTTATTATCCAGGATTGAAATGTGTAGAAATTCAAATTTTTTTTGGACATTTGTTTGTAATAAACATTTTCTCTGTCTTTCCAGTGGTAGATGATATGGAGTCAGTAGTTGTGGATGAAGCCTCTCAGCAACCCTCAAAGCCACCCCCAGCAGATGTAATGCAAGCATGGATAAATGACACTCCAGTGTCTCCGTAAGCACTTTTTTCCCCACAGAATTTGACAGTTGATAGCATCATTTTGGCATTAGTATGTGTATCACTGTTAAAATTAATACAGATTATTTTCAAACTTGTCATAAACGTGTCAAAGGTTTTATTTGCTGTTTTACTTCAGTTAGTATATAGCTGATCTATATATTAGCATGTTAATTTTTTTTTTCAAAATCAAATTACCATTCAAAGTACTGTATTTTAAAATATTTATGTATTATCATTTAAAGAGAAAGTTCACCTAAAAACAGCCTGACATGTAGAATTATTTGAAGAATAGCTTTGCAAATCTTGTTTGTGATACAATATCAGCTCATAGTTTGCAGGGGGCAAAAAAAATAAAAAAAACATAATTTTTTTTCTTTATATGCTTGACATTCCTAGTCACTGTCACACAACAGTCCCTGAATGACAAAAGCTATGTAACGATTTGCTTTTTTCCTTTTGTGTTCTAAAGAAAAAGTAACAGCACAAGGTTTGGAACGTTCACTACTGTTCAAAAGTTTGGGGTTGGAAGAATTTTTTTTTATGTTTTTCAAAGAAGTCTTTTATGGTCACCAAGGGTGTTTTTTCTCTATCTAATAAATAGAGTAAAATAGTAATATTGTGAAATATTATTTTAGTTTAAAACGACTGGATTCTTTAATAAATAGAAAGTTCAAAAGAACAGCATTTATTTGATATAGAAATCTTTTGTAACATTATAAATGTCTTTACTGTAGTTTTTGATCAATTTAAGGAATTTGATGCTGAAATTGATTTATTAAAAATAAAAATCTTACAGTAGTGCACATAATGACATAACTTTCATATTTGCAATGGAAGAAGGTCCCTTTAATCATTGTTTTTTATTATTTTTTTTTTTATATTAGGCCAGCAGAGGGCAGAGTATTACAAGCAGAGTGCACAGAGATAACGCGCAGAGAAGAGAAACAGCCTGAACCTGCAGGTAGTCTCAAGTGCAATGCTAAGGCACCTTATCTCCCTCTCACACAAGCATGTCTCATTATGCACCATATCAAAGCACTCCAGGCTTCCCCTTTACACTTCGTTTACTTTCTAACAATGCTAATCCTCAGAAGTTTAAAGAATGCCAGTTTGAATGAAACTTAAAAAACAAATGACACTGTAAAAAACAAATGAAGTTTTTGTTACGTTTTTTCTTTTTTTCAGTTGATGAGTCTCTGTTTGTGAAGATAAGCAGTAGTCCAGCTCACAGACGTACAGTAGCTTTGGCCATCCTGTCTGCTCAGTCCTCATTGGAAGACTCTTCCTCTGTCACCTCGCGTTCCCGCTCTGTCTCTCCAATGCGCTCCCACCGGCGTGATGACGCACTTCTCATTGGCCTCTCCACTGGCCTCTTCGACGCAAACAACCCAAAGGTGAGCATTGTCACAGGAACCCCATTGTACCAAGTGTGAATCTATATTTCTTTTCCTTCTCTCACATGTTAGTTCAGACGGCAAATCAGCGGAGCTAACCTCTGGCCAAATCATCAAATGTTAAAGGCGGGAACACAATACATGACTTTTAAAATCTGAAGTGGTTTAAAAAACTCTAGGCATCATATTACACACACTTGCCAACTTTGTAAATGGTTACAAAAAAAAAATAAAAAAATTGAGCATCATACACTAAATATCTGAGAGTCAAACACTACCAGGCTTTCTGAACACAACAAACTGGACCTCGTTGCTAGGAAACGGATGACAAATGCAAACAATTTGTGTTCTAATATCAGCTCAAATATCAAACATGTTTGATATCCTCTGAATATATAGAATCATAGTTTTAAGCAAAAATAAAATAAAATCAGAGTCTGTGCCCATCATACACAATATGATTTTCTGTGAAATCTGTCAACTTATACTGCCCAAAATCTGCAGACTGGCTCTGACTTTTGAATCTGACAAAAAAAAAAATATTGTTGTGTAGTGTATTCAGGGTGGCCGCGGGTCCTTAAAAAGTCTTAAAATGTCTTAAATAAAGTTTTCCTAAAATAAGGCCTTAAAATGTCTTAAATTCAGATTCAGTAGGTCTTAAATATTTTTGGTCACATTACCACAAACATTTCTCCAGTCTGACGGACCCAGTGAGTGTCCATCAAGAGTACTTCCCCTGATTTTAAACGTACGGCACACATAAAGAAACTCACAGAACAAACATACTGAGGTAAAAATTCAAAATGTTTAGTTTATTTATAGCATGATATAGTCAAGTAACATACCATGACAAGGGATCTATTTTGCTCAATATTTTCACGATTGCAAATGTTACATTGATTTTAGTTACTTACATTTTTAGACACAATTCACTGTTTTGTTTTATTTCACCAACGAAAATAGTTCCAAACAAAGATCAGAACAGAATTATTGCGCACATTCTCAAAGCCACACTAACATTTTTGTTACTGAATGATTCAGCTGTTTGAAGGAATCTGTTGAATGAATAAGTGACTTACCGCCACCTACTGGCGGTTTAGTCTCATGCTTAAAAGTATGCATTTTCCCCCAACATTTCTTATTTGTATGTTCAAAATTTTATTTACAACATTAATCCCATAACATTATTTATTGCTGTTGTAATTTTGTAATTATTTAATTTGATTGGTAACAGCCCTGTAGTGTATTAAATTTCTTGATCAATTGTAAGAATTTGACTTGAAAGATGACGCATACATTTAATAAGGTAAAAAAAAAAATTGGCCTTTATAAAGGTAAATGACATCCTGTGGTAAATATTAAAAACATGCAGATTTAAGTATGTAAAAGCTGACAGAAAACCGATGAAAATATTGCTTCAGAATAAATTGTTTACACCACCAAAAATCTCGGTGATGCGACACTTTTGTTTTGTGGGAATATTTTGTATGGGATATTGTCTGCTGATATGAAAAGTTCACTGTATATCGTAATAACAAATAGCATTTTTGACAGCGATGACATTTTGTTGTCTTTTTACATTTAAACACGTTAAATATTACATATACGTATGTAATATAATGTGTATTTCCATCACAGGCTTGGTCTTAAATTTCACATAAGGTGGTATTAAAAAGGTCTTAAAAAGTCTTAAATTTAACTTGTTCATATCTGTAGACACCCTGGTATTGCAGCCTTAACTTGTACAAAAATGTAGGTGAGACACTGTGTGAAAGAGTTAACAGAAGCGCAGATTTCACAGACATTGACAAAAGTGAGTGTAGTTACAAGGGTGCAGATCAAGTGACTCTTCTGTGCACAAGCCTCAGTGCCTTGAACTTGATGACAGCAGCAACTGGTAGCCCGTGGAGTGAGACAAAGAGGGGTGTAATATCCGCTCTCTTGGGTTCATTGAAGACCAGACTTGCCACTGCGTTCTGGATCATTTGGAGAGATTTGATTGCACATGCAGGAAGGCCAGGTAAAAGCATTACAGTCCAGTCTAGAAATCACATGCCTGGACAAGGAGTTGTGTAGCATGCTCAGATATTAAGGGTCTGATTTGCCTGATCTGGCAAATCTTCAGGAAGGGGGCTTTGATGACCAACTGAACTTCACACACAATATAGCAAATGGTATTCCCAGGTTCCTGGCTAGGAAGACAAGTAGATTAAATTAAATTAGAGGTTGTGTTCTTTCATCCAGGCTGAGATGTCTGTTGAGCAGGCCGAGATCTGTGCCGATGTTGTCTAATAAAGAGGAGGGGGCAGAGCACCGAACCCTGAGGTACCCCGACAGAGGTAGTTAGCTTACGTGACCGCTCTCCCTTCCAAGACCTCCTTGTGAGGTAGGACTAAAACCAGCAAAGTATAGTTCCTGTGATTCCCAGGATTGAGAGACAGAAAGGTTTTGTGGTTATCAGTGTTGAGTCCTGCAGACAAGTCCAGCCAAATGAATACAGACGATCTCCCACCAGCCACAGGATTTCAGTGACAGATTGTCTGTGAATATCAGCTCTTAAAACCTGACTGATTACTGTCTAGCAAGTTGTTCTGTGAGAGAAGAAATCTGAAGAGGAGAAGAGAAACCTGAGGGTTGCCCAAGCCTTTTATTGATGTGTTAGGCTAGTGGGAATAGTGTCAAGGGGTCAGGTTGTAGGATGGTTCAAGAAAGTTAGGAGACCTTAGCTTGGAGAGTGGAGCATTGTGGGTGGGTTGTTCATGAATCTGTGGGGTAAAGAACTGACTGACTTTACCTAAGAAAAAAAGTGTCACAGTAATTAGCCATATAAAACACAGCTGGGTGTAACATCAGAAATACCAGACTATAAACTACAAAGACCTGTAATGATCTTTAAATATGCATAGTTCTACCTTATGAAGAACGTCTCAGGTTACTTATGTAACCATGGTTCCCTGAGTAGGGAACGAGACACTGCGTCCTCTAGGGGTCGCTATGGGGAACGCCTCGTCGTGACCCGTGTCTGAAGCATACATTGAAAAAACACCAACTCGTTGGCCGGCGACAGCTACTATAGTCGCACCGGTAGTGACGTCATGGCTGTCGCCGGCCAACGAGTTGGTGTTTTTTCAATGTATGCTTCAGACACGGGTCACGACGAGGCGTTCCCCATAGCGACCCCTAGAGGACGCAGTTCGAAGTTCCCATGAAAGGGAACTAGTGTTATTCAAGTATTATTTATATACTATTATATTATTTATTAATATTTGCTTTTATTTTTACATTTTCAGACTTCAATTTAATTTTAATTTAAGTTTAGTAATTTTGGTATGTGCTTTTGGATTTTTTTTCCCCAGCTAATTTTTTCAGTTTTAGTACTTTCTCACACTAACTTATTTCAGTTAGTTGACAAGACAGTATTTCTTCAATGTTTTTTCTAATATTTGTTGATCAAGTTTTTCAACTAATATTCATATTATATATCAGTTTTGTTTCAGTTAGTTTCAGTTTGATAGTTAAAGTTTTAGTTTACAAAACAACACTGCAAAAGACTGAAGAAATTCAGGTGTGTGTGTGTGTGTTTGTCTTAGTCGAAAGATATGAGACTATTACAGAGCATAGTAATGGAGGCCCCCACTGCTGCCATTTATCACACTGATTAGAGCAGAAGCTCTTACACTACAAGGCAAGAGAGGACTAAAAAGAGCAAGAGAAAGACTATGAGAAAGAAAGAGATGGCACTATAGCAGGAGAAACAGATGGCAGCCTTCGATAATGTGTAGCACTACATCTCGTAGAGTTTTGTTTGGGGTGATTTGTTTTCCACAGACTGAAATTTGTGTTTGTGCACACTAGACTTATGCCCGTATTCGGTAATGTGATATATCACGGTAATGAATATGCACGATATTGTTATCGTGGGCACTTCTAAATACCGTGAATAATTATATATAACAAATTATTCAGAATTTTGAATGCATTTTAAGAATACTTTTCCCATAAACTGGTCAAAATGCACAACACTGCTGAATGCGGCAGACGCCTGCGCACTCTGAGGTAAACAAGTGCGGACGAGAAGCACATGGCGGAACATCTGAGAGACGCTCTGGATGAAAGCGCACTTTCACTCTCTGACAGTAATGTTGTGTGTATGCGAGGATAGGCATATGTATGATTGTGGATGTGCCTCGGGCCATTGCTGTGCTGGAAGAACTGCTGAATGTGTGTGTGTTTTTCAGCTCCTGAGTGGAGCGTTATTAATGCGATTCTTCCACATCCTTGATGTGCCAGTTAACCAAAGGACTTTGCGCTGGCCTGTGTACTTTTTCACCCACCCCACAGGCGCACATACACAAATACTTTTCTTTGTCCTCACAAAAGCACATTAACATTCACACCCACGCCCACACTTTTGCAAACACGCACGCACATTTGGCCTTTTGGCTTGCTTGCACCCAACCCTCTGGACAACTGGACAGTCAGATCACACACACACTAAATGCCGTCTTTCTCAGCGCAGGCTGTCAGTCTGTTTAATCAGTAGTTTAGCACTCCTCTCCACTGTGCAAGTGCGAGAACACAGTGCGTCTCTGTACCGACGGCTGCGGTGGAGATGGATGATTATGCCGTTATTAAAGCCCTCCTCTGCTCTGTGGAGACAGTTTTAAGTCCCTGCTGGGTGTTAAATAGCTAAGTCGTATTATTCCTGTACACGATTCAGATTGAATAACTTAGAACTGCAGCTTAGAGATTGTGCTTGTGCATTTCTTGTTCCAATTCATATTGATTAAAGAGCCATATTCTATATTTTTGTAGTCCAGTAAAAATGTCAAGGTTTCTTACACCAAAAAAAGTTGTAAGCTACTTTTTATGACAATTCTCTCCTCTCCCAGACACTTAAAACTAAAGATGTGTATTTAAAGTAAAGTATTAAATTTTTTTTCTGGTGTTAAAATATTTTCTCCTATCCTAGCTTAATATGCAAAATCAACAATATGTAAGTTGATTTACTAGTGTTAAAGTCAGAATGAAATGGAACATCACCCTATCTATTTTCTAAAATGGTGATCTTCCAATGAAATAACAGACTTTTCTCTGGTGTCATATGTTTGACTTATCCAATCATTTAATCAGCTCTCCTCTTTCTTGCATTTGCTCAAGTTGCATTTAGATCTTCCTCCACTCAATCAACAACCCATGAACTGAACCAAGTCTCCACCAAGTTTCACTTGGAAGTACATCACAATATGAAAGAGAGAATCTGATGCTAATTCAGTTTAGGGCTGCACGATAAATCGCATGCGATATTTAATGCGCATCTTGTCAGAAAAGCCGGTTCTGTAATCAGCGGTAAATCTCCATCACCTGCGGGCTTTCACATTGAGCAGCATTAACTACACAGAGCCGTTGTTCACTGACGTACATCCTTTTAAAAGTGTTAACACTAGCTATATGACAGTATCAAAACTTTGCTGTTTGAACATCCTGACCAGCCCAAAAGCATTGGTTAAACCAATGTTGCAAGTTTGAGTCAGGACTATCTTGTTAAAACAATCATTATGCACTTCATTTTGCATAAATTAAATGGGATGCTTTTTGCTGCTGTGCCTCTAAGACTTCCATATAAATGCCCTTTTCACATGTGAGATTAAATGAAAAACAATGCTTATTTAAGTTTGCTGTCGGGTGCAATATAGTTGGCTATGCCTCATCCTTCAATGACAACCTAGTTGCACAGCCTGCATTACATTGTGACAGGTTCACAAAACAATCCTCACTGAAATGTGCTGCACAAACTGTGAAGGTCAGACTGAAATAATCAGGGTTGTTGTTAAAAATAAACTTCAAATGCTTGTTTCTAACATTAGGATCCTTCTGTCTATGCAGAGACACAAGTGTTACCCCCACCCCAGCACAATGTTTGCTGAATTTCCTGCACCTCTAGATAACAAATGGAATTTTTTTTGAATGTGACCTGTTGTTTACATGCTCATGGCTGAGACAACACAGACACGATTACAGGTTGAGCCATTTTTGCAGCTTATTTTTAATAAATAGTCTGAGATAACTTAGGAGGGAGCTTTGCATTTGGATTGTTAGAGTATAGAGTTTGCTTCAAAAGAACATGAATATGTCTGTTTTCAATTTCGTTTAGGGTATTTGATTTGTGATAATTGAGAGCCCTTGTTTGTGTGTGTTCTATCAGATGCTGAGGACTTGCTCCTTACCAGACCTCAGTAAAGTGTTCAGTGATGCTGCAGAACCTGAAGGTGCAGTCGCTCCTGACAGCAACCTGGAGATTGAAGATTTGGAGGATAAAGCGGACGAGCAGTCTGAACCTGAGGAGTAAGACACACAAAACTCACATACATGTGTACCTGCACACACACACACTCACTTATCACTGTATCTCTCTCAGTGTGTATGAGGATGATGATTTGAGGGAGCTCCGAGCATCTATGGAGAGGCTTCTCCAGGAGCAGTGTAGTGATGATGAAAATGATGATGAAGAGGAGGACGATGGTGGTGGATCCAACAGCAGCCCGGCTGATGAAGAGGCAGCTGGTGATGACAAGGAGTGTTTTAATGGAATGGCTGAGGAAGATGAGGATGTTAGCCATGGTGAAAAAGAGCCAGGAGGGCCAGTTACTAACGGAATGGAGGTTGAGGAAGATGAAGAGCAGAACAGCAGTGAAGGCCAGCTCAATGAGGAGTGGCAGTCTGGTAATGCAATCACGACTGCATCCATAAACAGCAGCAGATGCTAACCGTATCCACAAACAGAGCACAAAGGCTGAATGCATGCCCAAACACAGGACAGAACAACTGCTAACTGCATCCACAAATACAGCATTATGGCTAACTAGATCCACAAACATGTCTGTGCACACAGCACAACACAACAGCTAACCTTATTGTATCTCTCAGCACAGTGCAACAGCTAATCATAACCGTTAACATAATGAAACGGCTAACCGTAACCTCCGTGAAACAGCTAACCTCTTCTGTTAATGCAGCACAACAGCTAACCATAACCGCTAACACAGCGGCTAACTAGAAACACTAAAACAGCTCAACAGCTAATCATATCCACTAACTTAGCACATCAGCTAACCACATCTGGTAACAGAGCACAACAGCAAGCCACATGCTTAACACATTGTAACAGCAAACTACAACACTGCTCACTTCATACACAAACACAACACAATTACTAACTGCATCTGTGAACACAGCATAACAGCTAACTTCATCTGCAAGCACAGGTTAACTGCTAACAAACTCTTTAAATGCAACACAATGGCTAATCATTTTCACAAACACAACAGCTAACCTCATCTATGAACACAAATGTTGACACCATCCACAAACATAACTAACTATGTTTAAACCAAACAACTCTGAACAATCACAGACTACATTAGCAAACACATCTCAGTGGAACTATAACCTAAATGCAACAAACAAACATGTTCAACTGTTGCTAAGCTCACTAAAAATGAAAACAAGTACTGTGTTTAATCAGCTAAAGATATTGTTCTGGCTAATTAAATCTGATGATTGATTGGCTTTGTATGACTACAGGGTGGAATGACATTGGCAAATAACACTGGTACTGACATAATACTTACATAGGTCAGCGTAGTATCAGCCAATGTTCCACAACAATACACTCTCACTGTGTGAACTTTGATAGATTGTAGTGTATCTTTATCTCTGTGCATGGGTGTGAATGCAGATGACAGTGAGGAAGAGGACGATGAAGACCTAGAGCAACAGGACAGTATCTTCAGTCGTCTGGAGGAGCTGCGGTTCCATCTAGAGCAGGCCATGGGCTTTGAAAACTTCATTCAAGCCTACAACAAGATCAAGGTCTGAGTTCCTCGATTTTGCATTAAATGTCAACTCTCACCATGTCTCCAGTGAGATTCAGTGGTTTTGTGCCCGGGTGAATGCATTGCGGAAATACTGCATAACTAAGAGGTCTTTAGTGGTCAAACACCACCAATAACAATGCAGCCATGTACTTTTGAGATGAGAACACTCATACATTTTTAAACACTAAGTTTTGTTTTTAGCCTTCGGGTTCATTCTGGGAATTAGATACAGATGTTATCCTTAACCTTTAGGAATGTTAAATGTGCTTCCTTATGATGCTTTTATATAGTTTGTCACACTGGGAGTGCAATAAACTGCTGTGATTTGCTGGGTTTTTTTGCTGGTTTTTTTTGCTGCTGGTTGCAAAAAAAAAAAAAAAAAAACAGCAGTGAAGAAACCATGTAATGATAATGTCTTTACAATTCCTAACTTAAAGGAATAGTTCACCCAAAAATGAAAATTCCATCATCATTTACTCACCCTCATGTCATTCCAAATCTGTATGACTTTGTTCTGTGGAACACAAAAGATATTTTGAAGAATGTTGGTAACCGTTTAAATTCCTTAGACCTCCACAATATTTTTTTTATATCTTCTTTTGTGTAACACCAAAGAAAGTCAGTCATACATGTTTGGAACGATAAATGATGACAGAATTTTCATTTTTGGGTGAACTATGGGTGGAATCCCTTTAAATAGCTGCACCTGTATGCAAACCTGTATGACTTTCTGTGGAGCACAAAAGAAGATATTTTTTAAAATGTCTGAATGTATTTTCGTCTATACAATTAAACTGAAATTGAATAGGGTCCAATATTGTTTGCCCCCAATGTTCTTCAAAATATCTTCTTTTGTTTGCTTCAAAAGAGTCAAATCATACAAGTTTGTAACAACATGAGTAAATGATGAAAGAATATTTTTATGTCTTGGTAAATGATCCCTTTTAGAATGTTGTTGCATCTGGCACTGGACTTTTCATTGGTTTGCTTGACTTTATCCAGTAATACATTGTTATTTGTATGATTTTTTTGTTTTGTTTATTTAGGCTATTCATGAGGATGAAGATGAGAACATTGCTATGGGCTCCAGCATGGTGCAAAGCATTTTGGGAACTGAGCACCAGCACTTGTATCCTAAAATCCTCCATTTGGTGATGGCCGATGGAGCTTACCAGGAAGGTAAAGTGTTTACACACACATTCTCACTCTCTGATCCATTCATGCACCATTTAATCTGATCTTTGCAGAAATAGAGCAATATAACATGAATGGGTGTAAAAGAGAGCAATTATGTCATTCAGTGCAGTGTGAATCAAGCACTTTAGAGAATGCCCTGAAAACACATACACACAGTATTATTTTCACAGTAATTTTTTCACTGTATATATAATAGTAATATAAAGTGTATGTTATATAATTTATTATTAAAGTGCCCCTATTATGCCTTTTCGAATATTACCTTTCATGCAGTGTGTCATGTAGCTGCATGTGAACATAAACTATCTGCAAAGTTGTGAAGCCGACAGTGCACGATAAATAAAGTTATCAAAAAAAAGAATCGGCTCGCAATCGCCTAAACGAGTCGTCAGGAATTCGAATATTATTCTGTTACGGCTCTACGTCACAAAGTAACACAATTTGCATAATGTCTGCCCACGTTCTATGTCGCCAGCTTGCCCGTCCACAAACAGTAAAATATCCGTGTGGTTAACATCATGTCGAGAAGACGCTGTGTCCTACGCTGTGAGAGTAAATTTGTTTTATCACATTTTATAATTACCACAAACTTGTTAACACTTGACACTTACCACTGAGAAACGTCCTGCTCCAGTCGTGCTTGCGAATCTCTTGTCGATCAGCCAGTTCAACCGTTTCATCATCAGACTCCGGCTCGAATTGGTAAGGTACAATCGATACCATCTTTTCTATGTATTGACAAGTCTCCAGGGCTGTCGTTCCGTCACGGCAATGGGCGTTTCATTTCCGACACGCGCTGTACACATTAGACCAATCCAGAGCCAATCTCTCTACAGCTCTGGACCAATCACAAAGGACTGCACCATCTGACCAATCACAGCAGTGAGGGCTCACGGAAAGGAGGGGTTTAGAGAGACTGATTCTTTGAACTGCTTCGCACGAGTTGTTTATGAATCATTTAGAAATTAGGTAAAATTAAATCTATTTTTGGAGAAAAGTAATGTGTTTTTTGATCTTGCATGCATGTAAACCTGTTTTAGGAGACTCATAAAACAATATTAGCAACCTTAAAAATGGCATAATAGGGGCACTTTAAGAT